GGCCGGGCACCACCACAGCAGAGCCACAGCAACCCCTCGGCTCCTGGGGAGAGGAGTGAAGAGCAGACATCATGCCATGAGCCCAGCACCACTGGTCCTGCTCCAGTCCCAGGTACTGACAGCCCAGCTGGGCTCCAGGAGCTCCTGGTGTCAGCGTACGACCCACAGCCCCCGGGCCGGGCAGCTGCCCTGCGCTGCCTCGCCAGCCTCATCACACAGCATGATCCAGAGGCTCTGCGGCTTCAGGAGAAACTCCTGCAGGTACCAGGCTCCCACCGGGGACCCATCCTGTGCTGAGCTGGGGCTGGGGATGATCCCTATTAGCTGAGCCCTCTGACTGTGCCATCACGGATGGCTGAAGGCATCAGTCAGGAGGGACCATGGCTGTGGGGCTGCGGGGCTGCTGCCAGTGGTGCTCCCCTCTCCTTGCAGGTGTTCCTGGAGAATGTGCAACATGAGGATGCCTTTGTCTACCTGTCGGCCATCCAAGGTGAGTGGTGCCTGGCTAGGGCGAGTGCCAGCGCTTTGTAGGGGAAGGTTTTGTGCTGAGGGGGTTTGGGCAGGGAGAGCAAAGCCCAGGGAAGCAGTGGCCAGGCTGGGGGCTCAGCATCTCCAGTCCTCCCGGACTGTGTCTTTGTGGTGTTTGGTTGAGCCTGGAGCCATGTGCAGGCTCTGCACCACATTCCCAAAGCCAGCGGGCTTCATCTCCTAGTTGTGCTTACTCAGTGAGTAATTAGTTCATTTGCCTTCTGACTGAACTGCTGGATCTGCCCAGACCACAGGTGCCTCCTTGGTGATGCCAGAGCCTGAGGTAAGGGCACCCTGGGCAGGTTCACCCTTGGGACATCCCGTGGCCAGAGGACATCAGAAGCCCATCACTGTCCCTGTGCCAGGTCCATGCCACTGGCCTGGGGCTGCAGTTTCAGTGCAGTGTGAGCACCCTGGCCCTGCACCCAGCTGACTTTTTGGCTTGCTGAGGCTGGCAGAGGAGCCAGGGCTGTGGGGACCCACTGGTTCTGCCCCAGGGCTCTGCCACATCCATCCCCATGCCAAGGCAGTAACAATCCAGTGCTGCTGCTGCTCATGCCACTTCCCAGGAAACCCAGGAAACATGCCATGCTTGCTCCAGCATGCTCAGCACAGCCCCATGGCACTGGTGCTGTCAAGATTCGCGGTCAGGTACTTCCATACCTAGGATGATGCAGGCATCCTGTGTGACAGTGGGTTGTGGTGCACTGGTTACACGGAAGAGAGGTGCCATTCCCATGCCCAAAGCCATAGCAGTGGTGCCTGGAGCCCTGGCTGCCTTGGGTAGGGAACCTTTAGCAGCAGCTGGAAAAGGAGCTTATCACTGTGCTTCCCTCTGCCTGTACGGTCTTGAGTGGGATGGGTTTGTCCTTGCCCTGCAGGTGAAACACAAACGCCTCAACCGTCCCTTGGTGATTAATTCATCCTGTGCAGCTGCCTCCGTGTTTCGCTGCGGCTGTGATTAACCCTGACGCGGTTCCTTGTGGCAGTGACTCAGGCAGCCCCTGCTATGCTGGCACCACAGTGTGCCATGCATGGTGCTGGACACTGCACCAGCAGGGTCCCCACTGCCCCACTCCAGCTCCCCAGTGCAGGGGCAGGGCTTGCCCAGTGCTGTGCTGGGGACCAGTGCTGGTTGTCACTGTGCTGCTGGTTGTCACACAGCCAGGCTCCGGTGAGGTGAAGCCAGAGGAGAGGTCACTGCCCTGCTGGATGTGCCTGGGCTTGCAGAGGGTAACCAACTCTGGGCGCCCTCCGATAACCAGGGAATGGGGTTGGAGGTGAAGGCGGATGCTCCTGGAGGGCAGGGGAATGGGGCTCACCGTGACTCAGTGCTTGGCACGGCTGGGGCTCCGTTTGCCCGTTCCCTGGAGAGCAGCCGCCTTTCCCCATCAGAGAGGCGCCTGCCGCCTGCTCTTGCCCCCAGCCTGCATCTCTAAAGGGATGAGAAAGCCAGCGCAGCCCTGCAGCATAGCCCAGCCTGTGTCCCATATCTGGGGTCTGACCCCTCTTCATCCTCAGGGAGATGTGGCAAGTATGGGGCACGCTCAGGCTCCAGCTCCCAGCTGAGCCGGGCCAACCCAGAGGCTTTGTGGAACTCTGTTGGGGACAAGGACACACCACCACCATGTGCCCAATGGCCAGGATCTCGGAGCAGTGACCAGGCGCTGCCTGTGCATTGCCTGCAGTACCCAGCTGTGCTGATGCTGGGCCAGCCTGGGGCAAACCCTGCACCCAGCAAGCCAAGTCGATGCTTTGTTGATGAACATTAACCAGCAGCAATTAGTGGGCACCTGCTGCCAACTGCTGAATTACTTATTTTTCAGCTTGGCATCCAACCAGACCCAGCACTGAGCTGCCCCAGTCCTGTGGTTTTGTGTGGGGCCAGGGCAGTGCAGGGGTCCTGCAGGTGATGGCTGCACGCAGGGCACTGGGGCGGCACAGCTGCCCGTGGTTCTTCTGCCAAGGGTGGTGACACGTGCCATCCTCATGCCCAGCCTTGGACCCACACTCGCCTCTTGCTCTGCCCCCAGGTATTGCTCTGCTCTCCAGCGAGTACCCGGAGCGGATCCTGCCCATCCTGCTGGCACAGTACCGGTGCCCAGCACGTGGCACAGAGGACGCCATGGCTCCCATCACCAGGATGAAGCTGGGCGAGGTGCTCATGCGTGTCACCCAGGCGCTGGGTGAGTCCACAGCCGTGTCCATGAGCACAGCAGTGCTGGACGCTGCCAGCAGCTGCAGCACTGCTCAGCCCCTTGCTGTGTTTTGCTCTGCCACCAGCTCCAAGGGGTAAAGCCCATAGGGCCTTTTGGTTGTCTAAAGGTGAGAACCAGCTCCTACAGCCTGGAGTGAGCAGGAACAGGGTCGTGGATCCTGTTGGCAGCCCACCGTCCCCTCGGTCGGCAGCACTGGGTTTGAAGGCTGCCGGGAAGCGCCCGGACATGCAGGGCTGAGGGGTAAAAGCTGGATGAGGCCTTTCCGGCAGCCACTGTTGGGACATGTCCTAAAACGCCTTGTTTTATTCCCAGCAGAGGCCAGGGCAGCGAGAGCATGCACTGAGAGCTCTCCATGGCCAGGGTAAGAGGCAGCCACTGTCACTGCTGCTGGACAGCCAGGCAAAGGTACCCTGTTACTAGCGAGTGCTATTTCCTGGTTGGCCATGGCAGAGACAACCTCTTCTTGCAGATCGCAGACCACCCGAGCCCCTGGGGCCTCTGCTGACTGCCTGGCTTGCCAGAGCCCTCCTCTGGGGCACAGCGGTGTCCCCTGGCCACGGTGACATCGCCAAGCAGTGCTACTGCAGGCATCCCATCAGGGCCAGTGTTTCTAGGGCCAGGTCATGCTGTTCCCTACCCTGCTGCCAGGATGGGACAGTGTTGCAGACAGTAATCCCATCATCTCACAATGGAGCTCCGGTGAGCAGTGTGATAGGTAGCAAAGCCTCTTGGTGTCTTAAAGGCCCCCAGGTGATGTCTGTCCATCCAGCCCTCGCTTTGCCTGGCACTGCACCGTGCTGGGTTTCCCTCGGCAGGGCTGGCAGTGAGACAGTGGCACGGCCTCCACTGCGTCTCTCCCCCCTCTCCTCAGTGCCTCTGCCGCGGGCAGTAGCTCCGGCGCGTCCTGGCTCGCCTGAGTATTTATAGAGCAAATCACACAAAGTTGTTTTTGTTGCAAAGCTTCAGGATTTAAGAGCAAGGACTGATCCAGCGCTTCCAGAAGCACTCTGCTCCATGCAGCTCAGAGCTCCTGTGGCTGCCTGTGGACTGCTGTGCCTCACTTCTGCCCCATCCCTGTCTGACATCCCACTGGAGTGGCTTTTTCCCATCCGGGAGGTGATTTTACAGCAGGCACCTGTCGCCTGGCAAACCACCAAAGCACGGTCCTGTCTCCAGCAGCACAAGGCCAAGTGCTACACAAGGGTTCATAGAGGCCTTGCACCAACTCAGTTAGCTTTTGCTGCAAACCTGTTAAATCTGCTCTGGGTGCACCACAGCAGACCTTTTCCTTTCTCTGTCAAGGGAACACGTGCTGGGCTTGCTGCAGGAAGGGAAGCGCTTCATGTTCTTTCTGTGTCTGTCCGACGGTGTGCTGTTGGCTTTGGAGGAGCTTGGGTCATCTGCCACTACTTGGACTGACTCCTGGGGTGCAAGCATAGAGCAGGCTGCATTCCCAAGCAAGCATGGCCATCCTTGACATCACAGTAATGCCCTGAGCTCTCCCACCTTATGCCATTCAGGAGCCATCCCTGCTCCTCGAGTGCATGGTCCTTTAGTGACAGGGAGAGCCATGTAGGGAGAGTGAAGCTACAATGATACAGTCCTACAGAAGGACCCAGTTTGCCTGTTCCTGCCCAGCTCTTGGCCGTCACATGCAGTGTTTACCCTCCTTGCACGCAGCCTGAAGCTGTCAGTGTGCCAGTGGTGCAGGGGCTGGCCAATCCCCAGGCCTTCACTGCAGCACCCAACGTGCTGCCCCCATCTGCAGGGTGATGGGTTCTCTCCACTGCCTGTGGGGCTTGTTTCTGTCCCTGCATCCTGGGGCATCCCACTGCCTCTTCTGGCTGCAGGACACATAGAATCATAGAATGGTTAAGGTTGGAAGGGACCTTAAAGTTCATCCAGTTCCAACCGCCTGCCACGGGCAGGGACACCTTCCGCTAGAGCAGGTTGCTCCAAGCCCCTGTGTCCAGCCTGGCCTTGAACACTGCCAGGGATGGGGCAGCCACAGCTTCTCTGGGCACCCTGTGCCAGCGCCTCAGCACCCTCACAGGGAACAGCTTCTGCCTTATCTCCAACCTGAACTTCCCTGTTTCAGTTTGAACCCATCACCCCTTGTCCTATCACTACAGTCCCTGATGAAGGTCCCTCCCCAGCATCCTTGTAGCCCCCTTCAGACCCTGGAAGCTGCTCTGAGGTCTCCACGCAGCTTCTCTTCTCCAGCCTGAACAGCCCCAATGTTCTCAGCCTGTCTCCATATGGGAGCTGCTCCAGCCCCTGATCATCCCCGTGGCCTCCTCTGGACTTGCTCCAACAGCTCCATGTCCATCTTATGCTGGGGACATCAGCACCGTACACAGTGCTGCAAGTGGGGTCAAACCGGTATCCAAGGAGTATCCAGAGCTTGGGAGAGCCAGGAAACCACCAAGCTCACAGGGTGGGAGCTGTGCCCATGCCATGGCCACCAGCCATCCATCTCACACAGGAGGACCACGCGCTGGGGTGATTGTGCATGCTGGTCACGGGCGATGTGTGCAGACCCCTAATTAGGCGGCTCACACATCCCCGGGGCCTCCATGTGCTAATTGGGGTGGGGGGTTGTGCAGCTGAATTATCTGAGAACTTGAGCTTCGCACGTTGTTCCCGTGGTCTGTTCCTGGGGTCACCTCTCAATGGCCCCACAGGAGCTGTGGGGGACAGGAGATGTGGAGGGCAGCCCCACACAAAGGTCTTTGCTGTGGGGTCTGTTGGGGGTTTCTGGTGTCCTGAGGGTCCCTGCTGAGGCTCTGTCCATGCTTCACCCGGAGTTGCACCAGGGTCCCCACACTGGGCACAAGGCACGCTCCAGATGTTGCATCCAGCTGTTTGGTGGTGCTGCAAGGAGCAGGGAGCAATCTGATTGCTCCCACTGGAGCCAGGGCTTTGGCAGGAAGGGGCTGTGGGTTTCTCCTTGCCCGTGACGTGCTGCTCTGCTCTCTCTTGCAGGGGACATGGTGTTCAAGCACCGGGAGCCACTGGTCCAGGCCTTCCTGCAGGGCGCACGGGACCCTGACAGTGCTCTGCGGGCCAGCAGCCTCTCCAACCTGGGCGAGCTCTGCCAGCGCCTTGGCTTTCAGCTGGGCTCCATCGTCCAGGAGGTACCAGCTCCATCCCAGCACTGCCAGCCTCTTCCCTGGGTCCCTGCCTCCTTAATGAGAGCGGTTTGTAAAGTGGATGCAGAGCTGCTGAATGCTGGTTGCTGGGGACACAACAGCTGGGGGGTTTCCATAAAGGACATGAGTGATAGTTCCTGATATTGCAGGGTGTAAAAGTCCTTGGACCTGCAGCAGACCCTAAGGAAATTCTAGCCCTGACTTTTAGGGCTAAGAACTCTATAATCAGCTTTATAATCAGATATGGTTTGTGCAGGGAAGCAATAGCCCAAGGAAAAGCAGTGGTGCTGCTCCACCCATGGCAATCTGCAGGAAGAGACCTGGGGGTGCATTTATTACCTGCCAAAGGCACTTCCTTCTGCTTAATTAGGACTCCTTGCCCTTCTGTTATCAGCATCAACACCCAGCTGATAGCTGGCGGGGTGGGACGCAGGTGCCAGAGCCACCAGAGCTGTGATCCTGGTGGGGTGAGCCTTGGTTCTGGGGGCATCTTCTCCCATATCTCCTTGCTGGGAGCTACCAGCATCACATTTGGCAGCCCTTGAGCTTGTAGGTCTATGACCCTGTAGGAGTTAGAGCTTCAGCCCACGTTGCCTCCTGGAGTGGGAGGAAGGTCAGGAGACATCAGGGACGCAGCACACAGGGTTCTTTCCCCACTCCCCACTCACAGACACACAGAGCATCAGTGGGGTACTGCCAGTCTGATGAGATGCCAACACGCCACACGCTGCTATTTTGGGAAGGCTTGAGCTCTGCTAATTCTCCGGCTGTCACTGCTGGGGTTTAATTAGGTTGCTTTGACTCTGCCTGCTTTTTATAAAGCTTCCCAAGGCAGCTGTGTGGAAGGAGAGGGAGGGCTGCTTGCTGCCCAGTGCTACACAAAATCAACCCCCCCGGTTGGGTGCTGACAGGGGAATGCGTGGCTGGGTGTAGGGGTCCCATCCTCATCCTCCCCCTCCATCCCCCTGCCCTTGCTGATGGCTCCCCACCCTGTCCCCGCAGGTCACCTCCTGTGTGACAGCCATAGCCAAGACAGACCCTGAGGTGGAGGTGCGAAGAGCTGCCGTGCACGTGGTGGTGGTGCTGCTGCGGGGGCTCAGCGAGAAGGCCACAGAGGTGGGTCAAATCCCCGCTTCTCCCC